CAAAATCTATTTTTTTAATGGTTATATCCTCAATGTCAAGAGTTCCTGGCATATAGTATATACTCAATAAATATTTGATGGATGAATGGATAAACTAATAAATTGATGAATATTTATTATAGCCATTTTAAAATTAAAGAACTTTTTTAGAAAACTTTTAATTTCATAGAAAAATGAGAAAGATATAGAAATTTTCCATATAGTCCTTGACCTCACAAATGCATAGCCCCCCCAACATCAATACTTCCCACCACAGTGGTACATTTCTTACAGTTGATAAACCTACATTGACACATCGTAATTATACGAAGTCTGTAGTTTACATTAGAATTCACTCTTGGTGTCGTAAATTATATGGGTCTGGACAATGTATAATGATATGAATCCATCATTATAACAGCATACATAGTATTTTCACAGCCCTAAACTCCTTTGTGCTCTACCTGTGTTATTTTTAATTTCAAAGTCTACTTGTTCATTATGGTACATAAGAAGATGATTAACTTTTGTATATCAACTTTGAATCCTATAACCTTGCTAAAATTTCTTATTTGTTCCAGAATTTTTTTAGTTCATGTCACCTGTAAACAGACTGTTTTATTTCTTCATTCCCAAACTGTAAATCTTTTATTTCATGTTCTTGTCTTATTGTATTAGCTAGGACTTCCAGTACAATGTTGAAAAGGAGTGGTTACAGGGAGGATCCTTGCCTTGTTTCTGATCCAAGTGGGAAAATTTCAAGTTTCTCACCATTATGATTGTAGCCACAGTTTTTGTTTTTTGTAGGTCCTTACCATGTTGAGGAATTTCCCCTGTATTCTTAGTCAGCTTCTAAAATTTACTCTGATTCTTCCACATACTACAATCTAGCTCTTTCTCCAAAATTCCAACAAAACTGACCTTGGCAAAGTCATCCATACATCACATATAATCAATGTAATATTATGTTGATTAACTTCTTTGCAGTATTTGACATTGCTGATTATTCATTTCTCAACACACTGTTTATCCTTAAATTTTATGATGCCATGTTCTCCTGGTTCCTCTTCTATTTCCCTGACCTCTCCTTCTGAGACTCTCCTATAGAATTAACTTATTTTACCTGCTCCTTAATTATTGATGACCCTCTCTTATCAGTTTCCATTGCTAGATGCTCTCATCTTTTTGGAAGTTTTTGTTCTTCTGGGGAGATCCACACATGTCCTAAGTGTTGATGACTATTTGTATAATTATGACTCACAAATCTATGTCTAACTTCTTAACTGATACTTAGCAATTTCCTCAAGTTTAGTATGTGAAATAATCAACTAATTTTTTGCCTCATAATCCAGTGTATCCTTTATTTGCACTATCTCAGTAAATGACACCAAGTTGGTCAGGTCAGACACTGGTGATGTTTTTTCTTCATACTTTACTTCCTTTAAACTCCTTCTACTCAACTGCTCCATTAATTGCCAATAATTATCTACTATGAGTAACACTATAAATATTTACTATTTCCTCCCCATTACCTTTCTTGCTTCACTGATTCAGGTCAAGATCATCATGTCTGACCAGGTCTTCTGCAATAACCTTCTAATTGTCCATTTGCTTTAATCTGATCTGGTCTATTTTTTTTTTCATATTACAAAGACAGAGACCTTCTAAAAGTGCAAATCATCTTCACTGCTCTCAGCATAAGTACAATTCCTTCACAGCGATTTCAAGAACACAGAATCTATCATCATCGCCACCGCTAGACTCATTGCTGGCTACCATGTCTCACACTTTCAAGATCTAGTCACAATGAATTTTTTCAGTTCATGGAATCATGACTTTTCTTATCTCTGGCTATTTAAGCAATTATTTCCTCTGTTTTGAATACTTTTAGCTTTCTGTCTGCTGTATTGAAATGATCTTCAAAAATTATCAAGACATAATTTGTAGGTTGGCATGAATTTTCTGACACCTAAGTTAAGTATCAGAACACCTGTTGTACATTCCTTAGGCTCCCTATACTTCTCCTACCACAGTGCCAATCATACCTATCTATTTATTCATTTATCTTATATCCTAGCTAGACAGTAATTTCTGCAAATTTGCTTACCATTGCATTCTACCATTTAGGTAACTATTTCTTAGTCAGTACTCAATCAATATTTAAGAATCAATGAAAACTAAGATTTAACTTTTTAAAAAAGTGAATCACTTATTTTCTTCTCTTTGGTTGCATTAAGAAACAATGTATTTGTGTTGTAAAAATTTATATTTATTATTAGTTTACTGCAAATTATAAAAATGTTATAGCCTACAGAAAATTACGTCATGAAACTTAAACAATTTATTAGTTAGCAAAATTTTTATATGTATACTCTAGAACATTCACTAGTAATAGAAATTTTTATATGAAATAAATGTGTAACATTTGGCTCCAAATTACACAGTACTATCCAGGAATGTGAGGAGGTAATTGAGAAGTAATTTCAGGCTTAACTGCATGGTTGTCTGGAGGAAAGTCCCCTGGAGAAGGAGTTAGCATCACGTGCACATCTGTGCAAACAGTCGTTAATGTGGCCAATGTCTTCAACTCTGAAGATGTGAAGTGCTGTTTTTTTTTTCTTCCCCTTGCTCAAAGATGTTTTTCTATTGGTTTTAATGGACATCAGAAGTGAATCGTAATAACACTAAGAGACTAAGGACATTGGGGTTTGGAGATAGGTCTGTATGAAGGGGATGTGTGTGATGGAGAAAGAGAAAGAGCAAGAGAGAGACAGATAGAGGTAAAAGATGGATATTGGAGTATACAGGCAGGTCAAGAATTAAGTCAAAGTAAAGCAATATTGTCTAGCAAATGAACTTCACAAATCTGAGCAAGTCAATGTCTTCAAGCTTTCACACATAATTTATAAATGTAGGTAATGTGAGAATTGATTGCAGATGTGGTAAAGTGTTTTGTACTTCTCAGACACTAGATGCTTTGAGAGGAAAGAGAAGATAAAATTGGATGAGAATCTCTTTTGAAATAAGTAGTATCAAGAACTTAAAACAAGGCTACTGCCAAAGAATGAAGTTTGAGGTAAAATCCAAAGCAATTTGTACCTCCAAGAATAGCACATATTATTTTTATTATTGTTCAGTTACAGTTGTCCCACCTTTTTCCCCATTGTTCTCCCCTACCCCATCCCCCCACTTCCAAAGTCAATCCTCACCACTGTCCATGACAATGAGTCCTCTATTCGTGTTCCTTTGTTTGCCCCTTCCCCTTCTTTCCTCCCTTCTCCCCCTCCCCTCTGGTCATTGTTAATTCATGCTTTATTTCCAAGTCTCTGGTTCTATTTTGCTCATTGGTTAGCTTCGTTGATTAAGTTCCACTTACAGATGAGGTCATATGGTGTTTATCTTTCACCACCTGTTGCTGCTAATAGTGTCATTCTTCTGGTAAAATTATGAATAAGGAATTACTGTTCGAAACTATGGCTGAAAATATTCAAGTATTTATTTAAAAAGTGAACAAAGACACTGTTTATTTTAGTTATTTAAATACATTTTCTTCTTCAATTATATATTTGGTTCTTAAAAAGTAGCCAAAAATGTTATATACTACAAATCTAAGGCACTGCCATATTTAGGGTCAATGGGCTTAAAATATAATACTAAATTTTTATTCTATTCATACATTCCTGTTAGAGATATTTATGTCTATAATTTTCCTCAGAGCTATAGACTTCCCTATGGATATGATTCTCATATTAAACTCTGAAACTCACTGTACATATTTGGAGACTGGGTCAAAATGGCTACAGCAATTTTATTTGTATGGCACTGTATCAAACTCTCTAAAATAGCAGCAAGTTAATAAAAGCCTTGAAAGAGAATTATCTTTAAAATGAATTAATGAACAAGGTATTTTCGGCAATCATATAATTGACTTTTTAGATGTAATGCATACATACTAATGTAATATTTATAAAATACAAAAAAAAGTATGCAAAAATAAATCACACTAAAATCTAATAACTTGTGGCCCAAAACAGCAGTTAATGATTCTATTTAGTTTTTTTTCATTCATTAAACTAATAATGATTGAGTCCTACTATGTATAACTGTGTTTCCTTTAGACAATATAACTTTTCTTCTTCAAAACTATATTTCAAAAGTCATAGAAATCTCCAAGTTTCGCAAAGTTTATGCTAGTTGACAGAAGTTCTAATAAAAAACATGTTTGGTTTTCCTATATCAAGCAAATATAATCTACTTCTTATTCTTCTTGGTACTGCTTTGAAAAAACAATGTAGCAATCTGTTCAAACTTAATCATGGTATTATTTTTAATCACAGGGGAAAATCTCCATATAAGTTTACATAGTTTTAAATGATAGAAAGTACAGTTATTTCCTTAATTGGGACTCATTTGGAATTTATGAAAGTTATCCTGAATCATAATTATGCATGACAATTAAGTACTTCACAGATGAAAAAGAAACATTTTGAAATGTGATCAATAACTATTTAGTATCTGCAAAGTTTTTTGAGAAGACTTTGAGGAACAATATAACTAGAATACTGTATTGTCTTCCTTCATATAATTACAGTCTTAGGAAACTAAAAAATTAGAACATCTATAGAATACTGATGAATATTACCTGTTACTGAAGTGAGTTCTGTTTTATTTAGAGTGACTATGTTAATTTCAATAAACTGACTTAGGGATTATTTTCTACTGCAAATAAAAATTTGAATGAATATATTAATATTAGAGAGATGAGAAATTTATTAAATTCCACTAGTACTTGTAAGTGCTACTCATTAAAACACTTGAAAATTATTTATTGAGAACACCACTAATAAAAATAAAATGTAAATGTAAAATGAAAATGATAAAATTGAGGGTCCTACAGAGAAGTGAATTAATTAGCAACATACAGCAGCCTTATACAGAAAATCCACAAGACATCACAGCCAAATTTGTCAGTCACTCATTTCAAGGGGATAGCTACTGAAATGCTTAAATCTTGCACTTACCAACCTCCACAACACTAGAACAGTTGGGATCTGTAAAGCCGTCCGGGCACTCACAGGTAAAGGAATCTTCAGACAATCCTGACAAACAGATACCTCCATTTTCACATGGATTGGGATCACAAATATCACCTGAGGAATAAAGAAACAGATTTTGATGTTTATTTGTCTTAACACTAAAGTGTACTTTTTGGCATATCCCACTCATCTTTCTTTGGTAAAGTGACCATATAATTTAGATTTACAGACAAAGTGTGTGCTTTTAAGACACATGGTATGTAATATGGTCAAAATTAAATTTTTAAGTTGAAACAGTTCATGCTGAATTGCATACTAAAAGCTAATAACTCAGTTTGGGGGTCCTTCATTACATGTAAATAAAATACTATGTAATTTGTTAAATATAAACTGAAATATCTATGGTAGAATGGGGTTATTAATTGCCCCAATAAATAACCTTTCAATATCCACATACTTGGCTTTGTAACTTTCGAGGCCTTCTGACTAAGTGAATTTATTTCTGGATCCCTATTATCTGGGCTTGTTCTTGTGATTTACTTTGGCCAGTAGGATGTTAGCATACTTAAAGTTTATGATTTCAGTCATATGTGGAATCTAGTGAACAAACTGAACTAACAAGGGAAATGGGGACAAACTCATAGATGGAGAGCAGGATGACGGCTAAGGTGGGGGGAGGTGAGGAGGTGGAGGGATTGAGCAACAAGAAAAAGAACTCATGGACATGGACAACAGCGTGGTGATTGCTGGGGGAAGTGGGGTATAAGGAGACTAAATGTAAATAAAAAATACAATAAACAAATTATTGAATTGAAAAGCAGAAGAAAAAGCATTTGAGCATTTCTGCTTCCTCTCTTGGACCTCTCCCATGTTACGGAAATAAATTCAGGCTAGCTTTCTTGAGAGAAGTAAGACAAACTGGTAAGGATAAGAGAAAAACTGCTACTAAGAAATAAGTTGTGCCATAACAAAGACCTAAAATATGTGGCCTTGGCTTTGGTACTGGGTAGCAAATAAAGTGTGGGAAGGCACAGAGAGAATAAGTACAGCAAGCTAGAAAAATGGCTCTCCATGCTATGTAGAGAGAAGCAATTGGTAAAGCTGTCACCTGAGGAAACTTCAGTGAAAGAAAATGTACCTAATGAACTTTTGTATACAAGTAATGAGATTTCTAGGCAAAATAGGAAGGTGTCAGCTGGCTCTTACTAGCTTCATTTGATAAGGTACTATAAGAAGGAAATATGCTAAATAAAAAACTGATGAGTCTGAAGGTAAGAAAAAGAATATGGAAGAACCAGGATTTATCCCCGAATATAATCTGTTTTTTAACTCCAGGCTGTCAAACTCGTGACAGATCAAATCCAGAGCTTGGTCAGAAAGACATGACCTCAACATAAATATCAAATCAAGGATATGGTTATAAGACCCTTTGTGAAAACATTTTAAATAATTCAGGTGCAACCTGAAAGACTCTCTCAGGTAATTCAAAGGGTTTCTAGAAATCGAAAGGATATTATCCCTGAGAAGCCTGGCAGATCCAAAATGGCATTAAATCTCAAGTGAAAAGTGGCTTCAGACAGTCATGGGCATGGCTTTATTGCACGGAGAGGATGTGAATCAAATTCAGAGAAGCCCACACTATTTTTAAAGGAGTTTTATAAGTGAAAGTACCATCTCCTAGATTAAGAAAATGAGACTTTTCATAAGCAAAAAAATACATCTGAGCCTGTACTTCCTACTATTTCATATTTCTTAAGAACTGTACTAACTTATAAGAGATTTCCCTTGAATTATTTCTTCTCTTTTCTGGACTAACTGCTTTAAAATTTTAGAAAAACAAAAATAGAGGTTACTAATTTTGTCAAATTTATAAAGCAAGCCATTAGCTACACTAGATAATACATAAAAATACTGAATTAGAACTGGAGCAGATATGAGAAAAAACAGTCACGAAATAAGTGAGTAAATGAATGAATGAATATATTTTCAGAATACCATAGACTATAGTAAGGCTGGACCATCGGGTATTTAGCAATAGCTAAGAAAGTGTAAATAGGTTAGATCGAGGAAGCTCAAAAAGTGACATTGTATTTATAACGTGAAGAGCCAACGATTGATTTACATGAATTTTAAAGTGCTGACATGATCATATCTATATTTTAAGATTATCATGGCAGCATTCCATTGGGTGAAGTTGAATGGGGAGGTTGGTGGCTGGCAAGGGTATTTCGGTACACTGTATGTCCACTTAGATTTTATGCAGCTAGCCAGACACTCAGCTATTCCTCTTTTTGTTCATCCATTAGTCCACCTGTCCTTTGATTCCTTGAATATGTTTTATGGTATGCACAGAGGTAAGTTTGACATAGAGAACTAAAAACAGACTTTACCAAAAAGAAGTGTGGAGCCTACTAGGGGAGAAAAAGAAGCAATAACAATTATAGCACATAATGATAAGGTCTGTGATTAGTGTACATGATCCAAATTGCAGGGTCAATGGAGACTTCTAAAAGGAAGTGCTGTCAGGTTATACAAAAGGAGGAGGTACAGGATCAACATCCCAAGCAAAGGGAGTAACATTCACAAAGGGAAAGGATCCTGGCTCATTGCAGAGTAGACCAACTGCAATTAGAACATACATGTGTATGAGTAATAGAGAGAAATAAGGTCCAAAAGGTGGCATGTTGGGTCAAAAATTTGAACTTTATCTTTAAGCAGTGGCAAGTCATAAAAGAACTTTATGCTGGAAAAGTATGTGCTCACATCTGTGTTTTGGAATGATGTCTCAGGCAGCATTGTGTTGGGTCGAATAAAGGAGTCAAAGCTGAGAGTGAAAAGACTAAGCATTAATCTTTGACATAATCCCAGCAAAAAATGATAAGGATCTTCTTAGTCCTCTTTAGAAGCAGCTGGGGACACAGAAAGCAATGGAGGCACCATTTAACCCCAATGCAGTTAATAAATACTAGGCAATGAAACAGAAAATAAAAGTTTTTGCAAATGAGTACCACCTCTTCCCCCAGATGATTTATCTAGAGCACTTATATTATTGTTGAAGTTTTCTAGAAAGACTCAGTCAACCATTTAAATGTGAAACCGTGCCTCTCTGCCTTTGGTATGAGCAAAACTGCACCACTTTGTACAGTCAGACTAACAGCATGTACATTGCATGAAGATGACTAGTAATACCCAAAGATTTTTTATGAGATGCTGACCATTATTTTGTGCAATGTCAATATTACAAAAAGAGGAGCTCTACATTCCTTAGACTAGATCAGTTGTCGGCAGCAATGTCCCCAGCTGAAGGCATGTTGTAGATGTTTCCATCCCTTTGTTTACACTGACAGAAGCAATGTCTCCAGGAGGAAGGCAAGGCAGTCACAGAATCCTAGAGCTTCTTAAGCATACCATCTACATTTATGTATTTACCCAAACAAAGAACCTCTCATTCTGATCCCTCGCACTGCTACAGCCACACTCCTGCGAAGTTTATGAACTGAAGTGATCTTGCAGTCCAGATATACCCAGGGCCGTGTGAGGCTGGAATGTCTGATTCCTTTGACTAACCTTTCATTCTGAGTAGTTATGGTGTTCTAAAAATCCTTTTTTGTTTTTTATCCTTTCTCGCTTATAATACTTAATCTGATCAGTTTTCTACCAGGTGTGCATGCCAGTCTTAGGTTGCTCCTGTGGTCAAAATAAGACTGGTTGATCTGTTTACCTCTAATTATATCTTGTAGATGCCGGCTGCTGTTTAGCTGACTTATCTTTTCTCTCATCCTCATATATTTTGATCTTTTTTGCTTATGTCTACTTATTTCTAATATATTATATACTTGTGAAAATTCATAATTTAGCTCCATTATTGACATTTACTTAGTATCTTCCTGAAAGTTAGAAAAGAGGTAATAGATTTGACCAAAATAATGTACTTGGTAGAATCAAGTTGACATTGTGACCAAATTAGTGTGGAGGTTTCGGGGGGGGACCAGCAGTCTGGTTCGATTTCCAGAGCACCTCCCTGGATGATGCAGTGGCCATCTTTTATAAAGAAACATGTTCGGTTTAGTTTTGAAGGAATCATTGTGTTTGAGAAGTCTGTGGAATATCCAAAATAAAAATATCCAAAAAAGCTATTAATTAAACAGATATAAAATTAGAGAGGTTTTGCTACAATGTAATTGTTAAGTGTGAATATGGAAACAATTTCAGTGAGAGTCTTTGAGGGGAGGGCAGAACAGGAAAGGGGAGCAGAGCAGTGAGGAAAAAGAACAGAGAGGTCCTTGGACACACCAACAAATAAGTTAGGGAAAAGAAGGAAGACTCTTCAAAACAGGAAAGAGAAAAAAGAAATCAAAGGTTGGCCCTTTCCATTCCAGTATAAGTACTCAGTCTATTCACTTAGGGTTTAGTATGCCGAGGTCTGCCCGAGATCAACAAAGGCCCCGATATGTCCTGTTTAATAAGGACAATGTCAACAGGAAACAAAGTTGTGTTCTTGGATATAGTAGAGGGACAACAGAAGCCTGTCAAACATAATTAGAATCACAGGCTATGCTTTAAATCTGTTTCCTTATACCCATTTATTAATAGTACCCTTGTTTCAAAAGTAAGTGCTTAGACAAAGTTGAGAGTGCAAGAAGTTTATTGAGAAGTAATGCCTGCAAAAGATAAAATTAGGAGGAAGCAGAAATGGGCAGGAAAAGCCTTCATTTTGTGATGCAGATCTGACATCTGTGAAAAGAAGTGGGGGGTGGCGTGGGAGGTGGTAGAAGGAGCATTAAGCAGGTGATCCTCAGTCTGCAAAGCAGATTTGACAAAATGTTAGCCATTCTACCCGGGAGCCCCGGAGCAAATATTATTCTTTAGAGAAATACCCCAAAGACAGAAATGACCAGGCACTAGTGCCTTTACCACATTCAATCATTGGCTGGAGGCAGTCCAGGTACAGTGAAGTTCTCCAGCCCAAGTGGGGTCCTGAGAGTGCTGCAGGATGCTGGGAGCTAACTGCATTCTGCGTTCTTTCATAAAAGGAGACTGGAGCCCTACACCTGCGTGGGTGCTAGAGCCGCATTCACTCTCAACATTGTCCCGGCTTGGATAGTTTAGTTACA